AATCCCTATCCTGTTTTGTTCCCATCTAATTACCGGTGCATGCAGCCCCCAGTCACGTACCCCCTGCTTGCTCAATCAATCACAACCCTCTCACACATACCCTCTTTGAGTTGTGAGCCCTAAAAAGGAACAGGAATTGATCACCCAGAGAGCTCGGCTCTTGAGACAGGAGTCTTGCCGATGCCCCCAGCCGAATAAACCCCGTCCTACTTTAACTCAGTGTCTGAGGAGTTTTGTCTGTGGCTCATCCTGCTACACTGGGATTATAGGCATGAGACTGCTAAGGATTTTTTTTTTTTTAATGGAGTTTTGCTCCTGTTGCCCAGGCTGGAGTGCAATGGCGCGATCTCAGCTCACTGCAACCTCCACCTTCCAGCTTCAAGCGATTCTCCTACCTCAGGCTCCTGAGTAGCTGGGATTATAGGCATGTGCCACCATGCCCAGCTAATTCTGTATTTTTAGTAGAGATGGGGTTTATCCATGTTGGTCAGGCTGGTCTCGAACTCCTGACCTCAGGTGATCCACCCACCTCGGCCTCCCAAAGTGCTGGGATTACAGGCGTAAGCCACCGCGCCCAGCCTACAGACTGCTAAGGATTTTTAAAGAATAGCCACAGATGGGAGAAAGTACTTACAAACCATAATCTGATGCAGGAATTATATCCAGAATATATAAAGAACTCTCAAAAACTAATCTGAAAACAATCAATGTCATTAATACTTGACCATAGGATATTTTTCAGTGACAAATAAGAACATGAAGTATCATTCAACATCATTATTCATTAAGTAAATATAAATTTAAGCCACAATTCTAATACCACTACACATATTTGGGAGTCTAAAGTTAGTAAGATTGGCTGTATCAAATGTTGGTGACAATGCAAAGCAACTGGAACTCATATCATGTTGGTGGGAATACAAAATGGAACAGCCACTTGGAAAACAGTTTGGAAGTTTCCTAAGAAGTTAAACATACACCTGGCACAACACCCTGCCATTTTACTCCTAGGCAGAATAAAATAAAATCTTCTAAAGAAATATCAGCTTGGCACGGTGGCTCATAACTGTAATCCCAGCACTTGAGGAGGCCGAGGTGGGCGGATCACGAGGTCAAGAGATCAAGACTAGCCTGGCCAACATGGTGAAACTCCGTCTCTACTAAAAATACAAAAATTAGCTGAGCGTGGTGGCGTGCACCTGTAGTCCCAGCTACTCGGGAGGCTGAGGCAGGAGAATGGCGTGAACCCGAGAGGCAGAGGTTGCAGTGAGCCAAGATCACACTACTGCACTCCAGCCTGGTTACAGAGCGAGACTCTGTCTCAAACAAAGAAATATGATACGTTCTTACAAACACTGGTATGTGAATATTCATGTTTAATTCTTAATAGCCAAAAACTGAAATTAACCCAAATATCCATCAATAGCTGGAGAAATAAATTTTGCTTACTCTGGAAAATGGAATATTATTCATGTACAATAAAGAATTATTGGATGGCCGGGTGCGGTGACTCACACCTGTAATCTCAGCACTCTGGAAGGCCGAGGCGGGTAGATCACAAGGTCAGGAGATAGAGACCATCCTGGCTAACATGGTGAGACCCCATCTTTACTAAAAATACAAAAAAAAAAAAAAAAAATGAGCTGGGCATGGTGGCGGGCGCCTATAGTCCCAGCTACTCGGGAGGCTGAGGCAGGAGAATGGTGTGAACCCGGGAGGTGGAGCTTGCAGTGAGCTGAGATCGCGCCACTGCACTCCAGCTTGGGCAACAAGAGAGACTCTGTCTCAAAAACAAAACAAAACAAAACAAAACACAAAAAACTATCGGATGAAGCTCAATTATGCTGAGTGAAAGGAGCCTGACAGAACAGTACAAACTGCAAGATTCCATCAGGGGTGGCTGAGAGAGAGGAAGCAGTAGGGATGGGATCCTTATCTTGAAAAGACTGTTTCATGAATACATATTTTTATGTCATTTAGAAAAATCTCAGTACAATATGCCTATTTCTTCCTGTGAGTCGTGGGAATTGAAATAATTGGGGATAGTGAACAATGCCTGGGGTGGAAAGAAACTGGTGACCCAGTAAGGGGAGTGGAGGGAGGAGTGCCCGTTGGTGCTCTCGACTGTGAGGTGGGTCTCCGGGAAGTTAACAGCTGAGGGAGAACTGCGTGGGGCTCCCTCCTGCTCTGGGTAGGACTTACTCCAGCCTATCCCCCGATCCTCTTGTGGCCACTGATAGCCTTGCTGCAGGAGGGGCACCAGAATTCCTTAGCCTGCTCCTCCCAGGTGGTTCAGCTGTACCCAGGAGAGAGGTACCAAGAGCTGGAGTGGATAATGGGACCAGTAACCAAGGGATCAGTGGGCACAGACTGGGATGAAAAGGAGACAAGGGATAAGATAGTACTTGGGTGGGCCAGGTGAGGTGGCTCACGCCTGTAATCCCAGCACTTTGAGAGGCCGAGGCAGGTGGATCACGAGGTCAGGAGATCAAGACCATCCTGGCTAACACGGTGAAACCCCGTCTCTACTAAAAATACAAAAAAATTAGCCAGGTGTGGTGGCGGGTGCCTGTGATCCCAGCTACTTGAGAGGCTGAGGCAGGAGAAATGGCGTGAACCCGGGAGGCAGAGCTTGCAGTGAGCCAAGATGGAGCCACTGCACTCCAGCCTGGGCAACTGAGCAAGACTCCGTCTAAAAAAAAAAAAAAAAAAGAGTACTTGGGTGGTGATCACCTTCCTGCCACCCAATTTAGCTCAGCGATGCCTGGGGTAGGGAAGCCATCAGTTGCTTTGACATGATGCTAGAGACAGACACTTCTACAGAGGTAGAGTGGGAGGTAAGGAAGTCAGACCCCTCGGTCTAACAGATCCCACACCAGCTCTCCTGAGCCAGTGTTATTGATTCATCTGGAGCCTCACCAGGCTGGGTCTCAGCTCCCTGCTACCAGCCCAGAAAACATCTGCATTTAGGACATGATACCCTCCAGACCCCTGGCCTGACAATCCATGATACAGCCCACACTCCCATTCTCTAGATTTGGGATCAGACCTTCCTCATAGGCACCATCCCCCCAAAGAGCCCATACTTCCACGTCCTCTGTCTCCCGCCGGTGATCAAGGCAGGCATGAAGGGCAGCCCTCACACACAAGATGGGACACGCAGCTGACTGTACTGACCAACTGCTCCCAGGTGGGCAGCAGCTGGAATGATAGCTTCATAGACATCACAGTGAGCGGCCTCATCCAAATCAGGTCCTTCTCCCCAGCTTTTACCTGTTTGCTACTCAGGTCACCCCACCTGGCCTTAAGTGAGTTTCCATTCAGATCCTTCCATCCCTAGGCACTGACCCTTGTTTTCACTTAGGTGGCTCCAGCTGGCCTGGGTTCCTTCCCCACAGCAATACTGCATTCACATTCTGATTCCCTTACTGGACATCAGGTCCTCCTTCTCTCCTAGTTGCCCACCAGGTGCACCCCCCAGGATGTGAAGTGTAGACTAAGAGCCTTGGACCAACTCTTCTCAGCTGGTATCCCTCCTACACCGGCGATTTCTTTTTCCAGATCATTATCTCTTTCTTGCCCCTGCCTGCCCAGAATAATTGTTTAATCTAGATCGCTAGGTTGGGTCCTTGTTTTTTCTCCCCAGTCCTGATCAGTTTCATCACCTGACTCCTATTTCTTACTGGTTCCTTTGTCAGAACTTTACCCACCGGCACCTGAGGTCTTTAAACTTATCTCCCGGTCTCCCCAAGCCACTTCCAATACCCCATCCACTGACCTCCACTACAACTTCAGGTCCCTCCATAGTGATGTCCTTTTCCCAGGCTCTCATCTCCTACAGGATGGATCTTCCTCCAGGTTTACCAGTGGAGGGTTATCTAGGTATGTGTTACTCAATTCTGGACTGCCAAGGCCTGGGCAATGGGGCACGAGGGTGCTGGACCAGCTGCAACATCTTACTCAAGGCCCATGCTTTTCTGAAGCCTTAGCCCCGTCCAGTCCCTTTTTTTGTGTATTTTGGGGCTGAGTTAGGAGGCAACAACCTCCGCCGCTCTCAGGGACACATGACCTTGGGAGTTGCAAGTAAGGAAGGCAGAGAAAAGCAATCAGGCACAGAGTCCTAATTAAGGGAGAAAAAAAATCAGGCTGGCGACAGCAGCAGAAAGCAAAGAGATAAAGTAAATAAGCTACAAATCTGCCTTCCTTCATGGTCCAGGACATATAAACAAAAAGAGGAAGATAAGCTATAGGCCTGCTTTCTTTATGGCCCAGGACATAGGGCCCTCCTGCTCATATACGTAACTCACAAACTTCCTGCTTATCAAAGCCTCAATTTATCAAACACCACAGCCGCCAGAAAAAATGCAAATTAGCTCCCTGCTGCCTTGGCGTTATCGATCAGCCCAAGTTCCAGTCTATAAAATCCTCAGCAAGCCTGTTTTCCTGCATTCAACTTCTCTTCTGCTGGCCTGCCTGTTGCCTCCTCGCAACGAATTTTCACACTTATATCTAATAAACCTGCCTTCCTTTACCTACAACTGTCTTGGTAAATTCTTTTACCCCCGGCGCACCACCGGCCCAGATAGTCATAGCTCACCCGCGACAAGGCAACAGACAGGGAGGCAAAAGAGGAAGAGCGGGTAACCTGTCTTTGCTTCCACCTCGGCAGAACTTGTTCTGTAGCTTCTTAAAACACAACCCACACATCGCTTCTCTGCTCGAAATCCAGTAAAAGTCCTCAATATGGCCCACCAGGCTCCATGGGATCAGTTCCCCGCCTGCCTGCCTAACCAGGTCTATTGTTATCTCAGCACTCTAACTGCGGTCCGTGGACCAGCAGCATGGACTACACTGAGGACCGAGTCAGAAATGCAGAGCATCAGGCCTTCCCCAATGACCTGCTGAATCAGAATCTTTTAAAAAGATCTGTAGTTTCTTGTTAAAGTTTGAAAAGAACGACTTACCAGCCTCCACTTTAGAGAGTATTTCATATTCCTCACCTGTGGGATATTGATCAGAGTGCGATGTGGAGACCCGGTGGGTTCGAGGGGCTGGGGCTGAAACTGGGAGAAGACACAAGTGAAACATCCCCGAGATGATGCAGCCTAAGGCGAGGCCGCTTTAGCAGCACTTGTATGGCCTGATGGCCTGGCCCACGGCTCCTGGCGCGCGAGAACAACCAGAGAACTGGAGTGGCTGTGGGCGCCGCGATGAATGCGCCGCGAGTCTAGCACAGGCACACTGCGACCAAGCCGCCCAACCCAGATTCGACCAAACATGCTCCCAGGCGAGCAGGCCTGCTTCCGGCCTGCAAGGGGCGAAACGTGATGGAGGAAAGGGTTTCCGCTTCCGCCAAGAGGCGGTTGTGACTCTCACAGGAAAGAGACGGGCCTGCCTGCAGTTCGGGAGGATATCCGGTACCTGGCACACCGGCCAGTAGGAAAATCACAGCAAATACAAAAATCTGATGTTTCAAATGCCCCTTATATACCCAACAATTTTTAAACCATATAAAAGTGAATCTATTTGGCTATTAAAAATACACTTCAATCAACTCCAAGATCCAAGAGACTACAAAATGAAAAAAAATTTTAATTAAACACTTTAAGCGAGAAACTATTCAAGTTATGAAACTTTGTGTAAAAAAAATTAACAATTATCTCACCTCAATGTTTTTTATCTGAAAGTAAAAAGTAGCCCACATCCTCCTTAAGCATTAGGCACTGATAATAAAAGGCTGGGCGAGTTGGCAAGTACCTGTGGTCCCAGCTACCCGAGAGGGAGGCTGAGGCGGGAAGGATCTTTTGGGTCCAGGAGTTTTAGAACAGCCTGAGTGATCTAGCTAACCCATGACTAAAAAAATTAAAAATAGCCTTGGCGCGGTGGCTCACGCCTGTAATCCCAACACTTTGGGAGGCTGAGGCAGGCAGATCACCTGAGGTCACGAGTTCAAGACCAGCCTGGTCAACATGGTGAAACCTTGTCTCTACTTAAAGTACAAAAATTAGCTAGGCGTGGTGGCAGGCGCCTGTAGTCCCAGCTACTGGGAGGCTGAGGCAGGAGAATGGCGTGAACCCAGGAGGCAGAGCTTGCAGTGAGCTGAGATGGCACCACTGCACTCCAGCCTGGGCGACAGAGCAAGGCTCTATCTCAAAAATAAAATAAAATAAAATTTAATTTAAAAATAAGCCAGGAGCAATGGCCTATAATCCCAGCACTTTGGGAGGCTGAGGTTGGAGGATTGCTTGAACTCACGAGTTTGTGGCAGTCTGGACTGGACAACATAGTGAGACCCTGTCTCTACAAAAAAAAAAAATTAAAATTAAAAAATGAGTTATGTGTGTTGGCCCATGTGTGTAGTAGTCCTTGCTACTTGGGAGACTGAGGCAAGAGGCTTTCTGGAGTCTAAGTCTAGGCTGCAATGAGCTGAGATCACACCACTGCACTCCAGCATGGGCGACAGAGTGTAACCCTCTATCAGAAAAAAAAAAAAAAAAAAAAGTATAAATTTTATAACATTTCTTCAATGTTGTGAATTTTTCTGCAACATGATACAAGAGTTAATTTGGATCAGATTCCTGAATTACTTACATTTAAACCATTTCTCTACAGTGAGGGTTGGGATGAGGAGCCTTCAATCCAAAGTCATATATAAACCTATAGAGGTGACATGCCAGTCATTTCATCAGGAAATACTCATACCTTTCCACAGATACGGCATATGGTGTTAGTCCTATTCTCAGAAATTAATATACATTTTCAAAAAATGTGATTTTAATTCAATCATATGTTTGGTCCATAAACAGCAAACTGCCTCCCTCCCCAGTTTAAAAAGTTTTCCAGTTGTTTTGTCTTTACTTTCCCAAACAACGGTTTCATCTTCAATCACGGTATTTCCTTCTTCCATCCTATTCCTATTGCTCATTGTTTTTTGACATTAACTTATATAGACTAGTGTAACGATAAGTGTTTGGGTGAAACAGACATATTTGCTTTAGTTAGGTGCTATTCCTCTACTCTGAAACATATATAATAGAACATTTCTATATCCACCAAAGCTCACATTCAAATCACAAGTCAAAACAAAGACTTTCCCAGGTTTAAGCATACATACTAAGAGAACTTATTTCCAGCACACAAGTCCTACGAGAAAGACCAAAGAAAGTTCTTCAGTCTGACATCAAATGATGGCAAAAAGGGGAAAACAAAGATGACTATTAAAGAATATTGTAAGTATAAAAGACAGACTAAATGTATATTTCTTTACCTGTGAAATAATCGGTTGATAGGTTGTTGGACCTACACATATAAAAATGTAGTATGTGTGTGTTTCTTTTGCAAATAACACCATACAGGAAGTGGACAAACCCAGTGACTACCAATGGCAAAGTAATAATCCTAAGAATGTATTGTTATGTGTGGAATCCCAAGAGTTGTTACACATGTAATAAAATACCCCAAGAATGCAAAAATATGAAAGCTGTAGTTGATATTTTTGTACATCACTGAAAATTAGACATATCACAAGAAAAGTGATGCTGATGGTCATGAGTTATCATTTACTTGATAAACAACAGAGTAATCACTACAAAAGGTAAGAACAATGATAATGAAAAATAATTCTACATGTAAAGACATTGGATGAAAGCAGAATTTACTGACCTTCTGAAGTAAAAATTGATTCTGCATAAATTCCATATTATTAGGGGGGTAAGATTTCCTTCATTCATCCTACTTTGAAGTTCCCATGTTACAGCACATATTTCTCCTTTGACATTGCTCTACTATTGAAATCAGGAAATTCTTTCCTGAGGATGTAGTGACCCCCTCTGTCCATTTCTTGAACCTCCAGCCCAGGTAGAATTATAGGGCAATCATTCCACATTTTGTAGTATGTTTCCTCAATTTTTTATAGTTAGGAAAATCTGTATCGCATTATTATTATTTTCCATTTCTCTTGCTTAACCCTCACAGTCTGGAAGATTTGTTTGTGAACAAAACGTTGCAATCCTTAACTTATGTTTATGAGTGTTCTGCAGGGAAAGTTAAAATTATAACTTCTAGGCCGGGCGCGGTGGCTCACGCCTGTAATCCCAGCACTTTGGGAGGCTGAGACAAGCGGATCGTGAGGTCAGGAGATCGACACCATCCTGGCCAACATGGTGAAACCCGGTCTCTACTAAAAATACAAAAATTAGCTGGGCATGGTGGCACGTGCCTGTAGTCCCAGCTACTTGGGAGGCTGAGGCAGGAGAATTACTTGAACACAGAAGGCAGAGGTTGCAGTGAGCTGAGATCGTGCCGCTGCACTCCAGCCTGGCAACAGAGTGAGACTCCATCTCAAAAAAAAAAAAAAAAAACAAAGAAAAGTTATCCCTTCTAAACAGATAACCAAAGGGTGTTAGCATACATCATGGGTGTGAAGTGAGGGAGGACCATGAGACAGGATAGGTAGCCAAAGAAGTAACCATGTCCTGGAGACTTGGTAATCGTACAGTCAACACAATAAGCCTCAGCATTCGCACTGTAGTCAAGCTCATTCAAGCAAAGCTCTCTCCAGTAGGGAATTTCCCCTGTAGGGAACATGCGTATTTTGATTTTACCTGTCTTCAGATTGACCCTTTGCTCATTATAATAGTAAAAACCACACCCCTGGGTGGCGATTTAAGATGCTAATGAGATGAGAGGTATGAACAAGAATGTGCAGCTACTGTGCATACACACCCAAAAGACCACCCAGAATGTGCTTACTAGTAACACCTCTTCCCAGCCCCTTATGAATAATCATGTAAGATGCCCATAAAAGGAGTCTCCCGGCCAGGCATGGTGGCTCACACCTGTAATCCCAGCACTTTGGGAGGCCGAGGCAAGCGGATCACAAGGTCAGGAGTTCAAGACCAGCCTAGCCAACATGGTGAAACCCCGTCTCCACTAATAAAAAAAATTAGCCGGGCATGGTGGCATGCACCTGTAGTCCCAGCTACTTGGGAGGCTGAGGGAAAAGAATCACTTGAACCCAGGAGGCAGAGCTTGCAGTGAGTCAAGATCTCACCACTGCATTCCAACCTGGGCGACAGCGAGATTCCATCTCAAAAAAAAAAAGAGGCCGGGCACAGTGGCTCACACCTGTAATCCCAGCACTTTGGGAGGCCAAGGTGGGCAGATCACGAGGTCAGGAGATCGAGACCATCCTGGCTAACATGGTGAAACCTCGTCTCTACTAAAATGCAAAAAGAAAATTAGCCGGGCATGGTGGCAGGTGCCTGTAGTCCCAGCTACTCAGGAGGCTGAGGCAGGAGAATGGCGTGAACCCGGGAGGCGGAGCTTGCAGTGAGCCGAGATCGTGCCACTGCACTCCAGCCTGGGCAACAGGCAAGACTCCATCCAAACGAAAAAAAAAAAAAGGAAAGAAAAGAAATAAAGCAGTGCCACAGAGTATCCTGAAACACACAGTGCCCTGAGGATGATGGAGGAGGCACAAACCCTGTTTCACAGTTACCTCCAGGGCTGGATGGCGCCATTTTAAGAGTGTTGAATGGCATTCCTCCAAGTCAAGCTGGCCTGAGTGCACACACTGTGGAAAAGCCACAATCATTCACTGTTACACCTCACAAACCTAACCACTTTCCTTAATACTAGCCAGCCTCTGAAGGGCTGTATCTGGAATGTTCTGGAGTCTGTTGCCTCTCAGGGCATATCCACCTTCCCCCTACCCCCTTCCTCCACAGCAGACTTGAAAACACTCAAAAGAGCCAAAGTCTAATTATTAAACTTAAAAAAAAAAAAAAGTCTCCCTAGTGCCAGTTTGCTGTCTCATCCTTATGAGCAGCCTGCCCCGAATCCTCTCTCTCGCTCTCTCAGGGCATACTGTCTGTTCTGCATTTAACTTTCAAAATACTCTTTTTTATTTGCAATAAATTGCCATATACTGCATCTCCTTTGCTGCATGTCTCATTTGAATCCTTTTAAACTAAAAAGGCAACAACCAAGGTCTCACAGCAGCCATCAACAACAAGATCAGTAGAGAAAAGGTGAGGCAGTAAGTGAGCTACACCTGAGGATCAAATCGAAAGGTGACATCAGAGTCAAAGCAAGCGTGTGGAAACAAGTCCTCCATGGACAAGAAAAATGGAAAAACAGTGTTAAGGAGGGATTGAACCAAGGACTGCTTGGTATGTTGGTGGTCCGGTGGGGTCTTTGCACTACTGTGCTCCCCACTCTTTTAATGCTGGGTCTGTCCCACAGACTCTGGCCAACAGATGAAATGAGTACTCAGACACAGGAATGCAGTGTAAGAACAGCTAGGTGACTACCTAGCTCTAGTGGCCAGAGAGCAGTGTTTCAATACTTTATATACTGTTGCTGTTGAGCTGATAACTGTTGTCCCATTATGGAACCCTAGCTTGAAAATCCCCTTGAACTTGGAAACCCCCAGCAGGCACCAATTACTTACTGCACATTCACTTCACTTTCATTTTTGAGGGATCCGTGGCGATCTGTTGCAGCATTCCTCACACGGGGCACCACCTGCCGGGTCTGTCCTGAAAACCCTGGCCAACGGATGAAATGAGTACCCAGACACAGGTATGCACAGTAACAGCAACTAGGTGACTGCCTGGCTCTAGTGGCCAGAAAGCAGCCCCAAGAAG